ACACACACACACACACACACTCTTAACAGCTAAATTTCTTCTCATGTGCTCTTTCTTCCTCTTGCTTTCATATTATTATGCCTTCTTATCTGTTTCTCCCCGTCTCTTTTCTGTCACTGCATTTGCGGGCACTGAATAATTCACTGTTTGAGCTGAGCAGGAGTGGAGTTACAGCACAGGAAACTGAGATTATATTGACACATTCCCTTCACATCATTCTCACAGCCGCATAGATGACAGACTCCCCATTCGCTAAAGTCTGCTATCAAGATATTTCTAAATCTCACTGCAGTGCTTAAAACAAGTCTACAGTTTTGTTTTTGAATACATGTAAAAAGTTGATATGGCAAGTATTGAGCTATACTGAATTTTTGAACGATTTAATAATATTAATATTGAATAACAAAATGATTTGTCTGAGATTATTGTCCAACCGTCAGCAAGCTGCTAGAAGAAAGAAATGCGTGTTCCACTATTTGTCCAAGTCAGGGTGTCTAGATACAGTTACATTGTAGTGCGTTATAGGTATTCAGTTCCTTCACAGGAAAAGGTCCAAACATCTGTTTCAGGAGTCAATATGGAATTTTTTTGTATTCATTGCAAATTACAAAAGTTAGCAACCTAATTTTACTGTACCTTGTAAAATTAATAAATAATAGATTTTAAAAGTTGCAATAAAATGGAAGTCTTTATAGATATTTTCTTCTGTATTGTGGTGTACATATGAGTGTAACAGATTATTGAAAAATAAAATAATCCATCGGTTGCTGATTTTGTGGAGTTTGTGGGGTTGATTGTGGCGAGACCGGGTTTAATAAACATCTAAAGACTAAATCATTGGAGTCGAGATTGAGTTATGACATTTTTATCAAAAATTACAATGTCAAATTTAAATGATAACAATAATAAAGCACGCATAGACGAATCGTTGACAATAAGATGAATAACATGCATTTGAGAAATAGATAGGGTGAATTTTCATTTCATTTCATGCTGATTTTAAGTAAATCTGCTTTCAAATATTGAATCACAAACATAGAATCACTGACATTTTCCTCAAAAATAGCATTAGAGTAAAACAACATCTTTAAGCATTTCATGTCAAGTTAAGTTGCATGAAGTGAACAGAATTACTGAGCTTATTTATTGTTTCTCACCATTGTGACTATGAAACCTACAAAGCTTATCGTTGTATTATGAGAATTTATGAGTAATGATTCACGGTCTGATTAGAACTAATGTTGAGTTTGTATATGGATATTATTTCAGTATGTTTACTTCCAGACTAATATGTGACCCTGGACCACAAAACCAGTCATAAGGGTCAATTTTTTGAAACTGAGATTTATACATCATCTGAAAGCTGAATAAATAAGCTTTCCATTGATGTATTGTTATGATAGGACAATATTTGGAGATACAACTATTTGAAACTATTTGAAAATCTGGAATCTGAGGGTGCAAAAAAATCAAAATGCTGAGAAAATCGCCTTTAAAGATGTCCAAATGAAGTTCTTAGCAATGCATATTACTAATCAAAAATTAAGTTTTTATATATTTACGGTAGGAAATTTACAAAATATCTTCATGGAACATGATCTTTACTTAATATCCTACTGATTTTTGGCATAAAAGAGAAATAGATCATTTTGACTCATACAATGTTTTTTTTGGCTATTGCTACAAATATACCCCAGCGACTGAGCTGTGTGACTGGTTTTGTGGTCCAGGGTCACATATGGGCTAAAATGAGATTAAATACAATTAGAAATGGTCTTAAATGAGATTTTATGTATTCTTAAACATAAATGATCTAATTCATATTTTATTTTCCTTTTCCCCCCATTGTCTGTCCTGCATCACCCTTCAGTAATTACTGTAAGTATACAATCTTTGCAAGTACACAAATAAGTCATATTCATTCATATGAATGAACAAACATGTTGAACATGTAGCTGTACAGCACAAACTCATACAAACACTCACTGTTTGACTGAAAGAGGAGACAGTAACTTTAGCTGGAGTGAAAGGAGAGAGGACAGATGTCAGTATGTCACTGCGGAGTCTGTCCTTCAGTTATGGGTTATCAGTTTGTTCATTGATTATCTGTGTTTTTAGAATGAGTATATGAAAGAAAACTTCCTCATCAAGATCGAGACGTGGCACAAACCCGACATGGGACAGCAGGACAATGTGAGTATAGGTCTAGTAGTAGATTATATGTGTGTGAACTCCACAATTTTGTGCCAAACCTGACAATTATGTTCTCAAGTATGATAGTTCTGTTCTTCTTTACAGGTTCACGGGCTAGACCCAGACACCTGGAAGAAGGTGGAGGTGGTGTACCTAGACATCGCAGACCGCAGTCAGGTGGAGCCAAAGGTGAGCTTTACTTAGATAAAATAGCTGCCTTTTCCAGTTACTTTCTAATCCGATCAGTGCTGTCTCTGTGTAGGACTATAAACCAGATGAAGACCCCACTAAGTTTAAGTCTGCAAAGACTGGAAGAGGGCCGCTCGGTCCGGATTGGAAGGTGATACATTTTAAAGCACCTCTAATGGCTGTGTGCTTGTATCAAATTTGTGTAAATGTAGTAAGTGCATGCTTGATGTATGAGTGGGAAGCTTATTAATGGCAAATTATATCCAAATGCTTAATGGATTTTGGGTGTGTGTAGAAAGAGCTACCTAAAAGGACAGACTGCCCACACATGTGTGCCTACAAACTGGTTACTGTCAAGTTCAAGTGGTGGGGCCTGCAAAACAAAGTGGAAAACTTTATTCAAAAGGTCAGTGTGATTGATTAAACTGTTTATTAAAGTTACCATCAAATCAAATGTTTGACCATATTTAGTGCATGTTCCTGGACTGATTGTCTATGATTCATCTGTGCAATATAAAGGTTTACTGAGAGGACAAAATCTGTTGTTTACCAACTTAATTTTTTTTTGTAAATAAATTAATATATTTATTCACATTCAATTGATCAAAAGTGACAGTAAAGACATTTATAATTTTGTTGTGATATGGAAAAAAGATTTATATTTTAAATGAATGATCTTCTTGTGAACGTCATATTCCTAAAAATCCTAAAAAAAAATTGTAACACTGTTTCCACATAATTATTAAGCAGCACAGCTGTTTTCAACATTGAGAATAATAAAAAAAAATGTTTCTTAAGCACCAAATCAGAAGGATCTTGAGTGCTTTTGCTGCAGAAAATTCTGCTTTGCCATCACAGGAATAAATTATATATTTAAACATACTGAAACAGTTATTTTAAATGTTAATATTTCAGAATATTACTGTTTTTACTGTATTTTGATCAAATAAATGCAGCCTTGAAACATGAAATCTTATCAACCCCCAAATTTTAAATGGTTTGAAGTCTGACTAAATTCAATTTTTTTGTTTTAATTTATTATTTTCTACACATAGACAAATGCCAAGTTAGTTACCATTAACTGATATAAACTGTATGTCATCCAATCCCTGATAAAATTAAGTTCCATCCTCAATTTTATGTAAATAAAATCAGTTTAAAATTCACCTTCCAAAATGAATTTTGTACCTCCTTCTCTCTTTAACAGCAAGAGAAGCGCTTGTTCACTAATTTCCACCGGCAGCTGTTCTGTTGGATTGATAAATGGATCGAGCTGAACATGGACGACATCCGCAGAATGGAAGAAGAGACCAGGAGGGAACTGGATGAGGTCAGATGAGATGCCCTCCAGCAAATTTACATTTACCCTGTCTTTGTCCACTTTAAATTATTCCTCATCTCTGTTGTTCAGTTTGAACCAGTCTTTATATGGTAATGATCAATTTTAGTCAGTTAGCCAAACAAACGAATTGCTCTGAGATATTTTCTTGTAGAATTTACAAACAGCTGAATTCAATTTCTCAATTTGTTGCGAGATTGAGTTTTTGTTTGTGTTTGTCTGGTGTTTTGAGTGTCGCCTTCGGCCTGCCACAAATTTTCCCACCACACAAAGACAATTACGTGTATCAAGGCAGATGAATAATTGAATGTAGCCCATAATGAGGTCCAGTCACTGCGAACAAAAGGGGCAGCAGAGTGGAGCAGGTCACAGTTCAGCGCTCTCAGGTGCCGTTCGGGGAATGAGTGACGTCATGTATTGGCGGCATCCCCAGTTTAACATACTTTGCAGGACTATCCCAGAAATCAGTGTCTCCTCCTTGACTCCCACAAGTGATCTGTAATCCCAGAGGATAGGAAAAATCAGGATAAGTCCTTCTTGAATCACATTCAACAGTAGCCTGTTGTTCTTCCACAAGGAGCTATTCACTTTATGTACACATGCATGTCTTTCTCTTGCTGTCTTTCAGATGAGAGTGAAGGATCCAGTGAAAGGCATGGTGGCTCTTGAAGACTGAAGCTGCTACGTGTTCCTGGATGCTGCTGTTCATAAAGGTAATTCACCATCTTTAGCGCCCCCTAACGTCATTTATCTAAAACAGCATGTGAGAACTTTTTAATATTTCTTAGTATATGGACGCAATATATGGGCTATGTTTGGGATAGCATATTCACATTAACTCTGTTGGGAGTACAGTATGCATAGAATACTAAACTTGAACTTTCAGTGCCAGACTGCCAAAAATGAAAATAATTTTTAAAAGAAATGTAATAATGTATTTTTAAGTTGATAACTGCTGATAACCACAACTGTTCGCAACATAAGGTCATGCGACAAAGTTTTTTTTTTTTTGAAAAGAAGTTTCTTGTGCTTACCAAGTTTGCATTTATTTGATCAATAATAGTCAAAACCGCAATATGGATTATTATTATCATTTTAAATAACGGTTTTCTATTTTAATGTATTTTAAAATGTAATAATTTATTCCCGTGATGGCAAAGCTTAATTTTCAGCATCATGACTCCAGTCTTCAGTGTCACATGATCCTTCAGATATCATTCTAATATGTGACCCTGGACCACAAAACCAGTCATAAGTAGCACGGGTATATTTGTAGCAATAGCCAAAAATACACTGTATGGGTAAAAAATGATTGATTTTTCATTTATGTCAAAAATCATTAGGATATTAAGTAAAGATCATGTTCCAT